AAGGGCACCGTTTTTCAATGTTGTTTTTGGTGTGGGTCTAGAGCCTGCCGGCCTCTGCATGTGTTGTCTCTCTGTCTTCTCCAAACTGTGAAGAGATTTTACCTCTTCTTTAGTGACCTGCACGTGGTTGCTCTGCAGTGTCTTTCTTCCTTCTGTAGCAAATTATGAAAGGTTGGCGTTCGGGCACCGTAAGGCTGACAAGTGGTCCCTTTTCTTTTTTGAAAACACCGTGTCAGCGTTTGACCTTCTAGGGATCAGCAATACAAGCTTTGTCCCATAATCTCCACTCTCCAGTTCCAATTACCCAAAATCTAGCAGTCAGACCTGCACAGGCTGACGAGGCGGGAGGTTTATGTTTGCATTCAGGTTTAAGACTCTTTTTAGAGAGAGTTTGGGGAAAAAGTGAGAGGTAAAGACAGGCCATTAGAGGGCACTTTTGCAATCCTGGAGAAGAAAAACGGTGCTTATTATTTCACTTAGGACTGTTTACCTTGGCTGTCTCTTAAATTCAGTGATAAACAGGAGGCAAATCCCTCCAGTCAGCAGGAATATATCAATAAAATATTGACTCTGAGTTTAGAAGAAAAGAAAACACAACAAACTTGTAGAAAAAGGAATAAAAGACGTTTAGGAGGTGGCACGGTCTGGAGACCAAAAAGTCACACAACATATTTCACGTAATTTGTAGTGCTTTACAGTGCAGTGTTTAGGCCTCATCTTGTACGTGGGTTCTAAAAGTAAAGCAGGCGCAGGCCTCGTCACACCGAGCAAATGAAAACATTTGTTGAAAGTCTCCAAGAGCTGGGTGGCAGAGCATTAATTTATGCACCTACAGCTAGTAAGTGGGTTTTCTGAGAGACTGCATGAAGGCCATTGTCCAACGGTGAGCTTGTCCAGAAATAAATGTAGAAGGAATGCATTATTTTTGCTTTCTTCATGATGTTTTGTGTGAGTAAACTGTAGAAGATCTAGCTTAAAACCGTGCCAGATAATCAGTGCACTGTAAAAAAACCAAAAAAACCCAAAAAAACCTGTTTATTAACTTGTGTGAAAGGATGGCATAACACTAATAGCATGTTTTTCAAAACTTGTTAAGTGTTTTTTGGATGCCTCTTTGCTATTTTGGTGTCCCACTTTTGGAAGTGTTGTGCATGAAAATCGGGTCCCTTTTAAGCCTCTGAGGCTGCATACGTGAAAACGAAGGCACTGAAAACCCTGTTCACTTGTAAAGGTTAAGAGATTATGAAACTTCCATTTTTCATTTACAGTAACAATTTTGTAAACGCTTTCAGGTATAGATGGACCAGGGCTGCTTTTGTAGCCTGGATAAAGACCACATAACTAAACCTGCTGTATCTTTGGTGGTTATTGTTAAGCTGAAATGCTTTAATAATTAGATACAAAAAACACAGACAAATCTGTTGCTTTTCTCTCCACAGGAGTTGTCAATGGGGACAGAGATACTGTCCGCAAGAGTTTTTAAAGTGGATTAGCTAGTGAAATTAAGAAGTGTAGCTTAGCCTGAGTAGTTCTACAAACAAAAATAGTTTATTTTAGTAAAGGTTACACTGCACTGGAACTGGCTATGAGAATATACAGAATTGCAATTTGGGGTTCATGTGGAGGACGCTGTCTTCAGAAAGTGCCAGTGTTTCTTACCTAACCAAATAATCTGTTGTCACTGTTGTGATTAAGTTAGAAAGAATTTCTTCCCTGTTGGCCAAGGATAATACTTGAAAAATCAATAAATACTGTGCTAGAGCACACAGAACTCATCCTCCTTTGTATGAGGAGAGATTTCTGCTGACTTTGGTGACTCAAGTCAGCAAGTATTTTGACTTACGATCTTTGCTCCAAGAGGTCAAATGTCATTAACTTTGCTGATAAGTATAAACAGTTCAGTCTGAATTCAAGAAAACACGTCTGTTGTCATCAAAAGCTAAGTAAGGAACTAGTTAGGATAAGTGTTGACAAATAATGGCAACGCCAAATCATGATTTAACTATAACTCGCAATTACATATCTGCCATAAAGCCACCTATTCTTTCCCTTCCTTAGGACAGAGCAGTGCAGTAACCTATCATTAAAATATTAAAACTAAAAATATGCAATTAAAAACCTGTTAGTGATAGTGATGAAGTGTTATAAGCCTTGCTACTGCTAATAGGGAATTGTGGTAACGGAGCCTCGCTGCCATGTGGCCCCGTGTTGCTGTCGTGAGGTTACCCCAGAATAAGTAAGGGTGCAGCCGACTGCAACTCAAAAAATGACTTACAGTAGCCTCAATATGTTCCTGGCTTTCCTGGGAAACAGAGCAGCTGAGCATGTTATTTAGATTATTGAGCTCACCGCAGAGCTTCCCAGCATGTTTGTTGCCTGCTCTCAGAGGGCATGGGCTCTTCCGTGGTGGCACCGCCTACCTGAAAGAAGACCGTGGAGGAAACTCTGCCACATGAACCTCAAGCATTTTCTTTCCTCTTTCACATGGTTTTTGCTCAGGAAGGGGAAGATCTGGCTGTAAATACAGTAATATGCAGGTGGGGGAGAAAACTCAGGAAAGAATAGCAGGCTTAGTTGTCAGGGAAGGCAAGAGTGAAAGGAGGTGAGGATAAAATTGCATCCTGGTGAGTGAGTTTTCAGTTTCACTCGTGACTTAGGATTAGTTGGGGTTTGTTACATGTTTGCTCTTCCTTTGTACCTCTTGCCTCAACAGTTTTTTTTTTTTTCCCATGAGTGGGAAAATAGGTTAAAGAAAGGGAATTAGCTGGACAGCAAGAACGGGAGAAAACAGTAGAAAGCAAGGCTGGAATGAAGTTGAGATAAAAGGGCAAGGGAAAGGAGAGAGGAAGGAAATAAAGTACAGCACGGGGAACCAGCACTGTTTATGAAAGGAGCAATTAAATAACAATGATGTTATAGGCAGAGGAAGCAGCATGAGGGTGAAAACAGCCCTATGCAGGCCCTTTTGGTGTCAGGAGACCTACTTTCCTGAATTTGAACGGCTGTGTTTATACTTACTGGGAGTAGGACTGACTGCAGGACAGACAGATGCAGCAATCTCTTGTCTTTGCACTGCAGAAGGGGAACTGGATACAGCAGAGAGTGATGACTTTGGAAGATTTTGTCGGGAGCTAATGGGGGATCTCCAGGTGAAAAAGAAGATGCCCTGTGCTGTGTGCTGCATATTCCCACGTTTGGGAGCCTGCGGCCCATGGCAAGTTTCACCAGGGATCTGGTGGTGAAAGGAGGGGTGGGTGGAAGCTGACCGGCTGTTGATCACTTGTCTCCATGGAAGAGTGTGGGAAGGGGCACGCGGGAACTTCTAGGGCCACAGGGGAACGGGTCTTGCTGAAGGCTCCCAACAGCCAAGAGAGGGGTGGGATGGGACCACACTCAGCCTCCTGTGGGCTGTGGCAACTTTTTTCAGGTTTTCAGAAGGTAACTCCAGGAGGGGGAAGGAGGCAGCTGCTGGCGCTTCCCTCACGGGCACGTATTTTTATTTTCATAAAGAGCTTGAAAGGGAAGAACAATTTTATTGTGGCTCAAACGACATCATTCCACTTCTCAGGGAGCCTTGTATTTACTGTATTTGCGTAAGAGATTAGAGAAAGGTCAAGTGGAAGAAAAAACTCAGCTCAATGTTAGATTTGATCTTAAAGAAAAATACAGTTTGTTATAAAGCCATAATCAACTTGCACTGTAATATAAGGACTGGTGCATGCCCACACATTCAGCCAAGTAACAGCAAGAAAAGTAAGATAAAAATGTTCTTACCAGCTCAGTTTCTCTCATGCTTTTCTCTTAAGCCAGTGGCTAATACAATTTAGGTAATAGCTTAGCACTCTTTTTTTTCCAATTTAAAAAATGTTATCATTTAGTAATTTAAACTCACTTGACTCATGGCAAAAATGGGCTTTGCTTTCCCCCTCCCCATAACAGAGCCATTACATATGAGCTCATCTACTGTAGTGAAAGGAGATTTTCAGTCTCTCCCACTGTATATCCTAGGGTAGTCATTACTGACCTACTTGTGGACATAATAATGAAAGGCTGAGATTATAAATTATTATGCCTAATTTGTAAGGGATTCTCTGTTTTTGTGTTTTGGAATTCCCATCAGACCTGAGGATTAAGCCCTGCTGAATTGCATGTTAATACCAATGTGCTTTGAATATGTAGGAGATTATATCACATATTTTCCTAATTCACTATTTTCATAAAGAGCAATATCACTGGAAATATTTACTTTTCAAAAGGATTGTTGGAAGCCCAACCAAAATCTCCTAAGGGAAGTGAAGTCAATGTACTCTCCATCTGCTCTGTGCTTACTCTTGTTACCCTGTCCAGCAAGCTCGATTTCTGCCATGGCAAAACACTGAACTGTAGCTCTTCCAAAAAACGTGCAAGGCTTTTGCTCTTTGTTAACGAGAGGGAGATACCAATTTGAAACCAGTGTGTGGGCTTGCTTTCAATTACAGTTTGAGATGCAAAAATCTTATTTACGTATTTTATCCAACCCCTCTGACAACGCAAGCTTAGTTCTTACGATACATACATATTCCCAATGCCCGTATGGCAGTAGGTGCTGAAGATTCCCGCAAGCTATGAAGTGCATGGAGGGCACATTGTTATAGGTAAGCCGGCATTTCAGCGGTGGAATAGGCCTTTCAAGCTCATATCCCCTTTTTAAACTCCCCCACACTCTACAGTCCTGAAACACATCTAAGTTTGGTTTTACCATATCGTTTTACCATAAAAGGTTTGGTTGCTACCGTTAGTTTACGTGTGATTTGCTGAAGACTGTTGTAAGCTTTTTGGCGGCACTGAATCAACCCATAGGCTCTACACTGGTTCATGGCTAGTTGAGTCTGTGACCATGAGTCATGCCTAAACCCACTGCTTTACTGCGGTCACTCACCAGAATGAGTCGAGCTGGTGGTAGCATCTGCCGCGCGTGTTGTTCAGCGATCGTCAGGTGGGAATCCCTTCTGTTGCTGTAGGATGCTCCTGCTTCACTGCGCTCTGCTTTTGCTGCTGCTGCCGCTCAGCTCAAGGACGCAGAAGTTGCCTACCAGAGATGAGGAGCTCTTCCAAATGCAGATCCGGGACAAAGCATTTTTTCATGATTCATCAGTAATCCCAGATGGAGCTGAAATTAGCAGCTATCTCTTCCGAGACACACCTAAAAGGTATTTGGGTCCAGTTTAAATGACAGAGTTGTATTTTGGAGTTAGTAGTTTTTTTTTTTTTTTTTTTGGGGGGGGGGAGTTTGGAACCAAAATTTGGATTCAAATAAGAAAAATACAAATGTTAGTGTCCTGTCTAGTAAAGTAACTGTGCAAGTGTTCTTCCCAGTTCAGCCTCCCTGACAGTGGTTCTATCCAATTTATTTGATTTGCAGCATAAGCCCAGAGGTCCCACACACCACGCATGTTTTCTAAAGTGGGGCCATTTAACCATGTCTGGGGGCAAAGGGAGGGAGGAGGAAATCGGAAACTACAGGATTGCCCCACAACACTCGTCCCTCTTTATTATTTCATTTTGCGCTTTCAAGCAGCATAAGCCAGTCCAGACTGAACTCACTATTTCCCAGCCTCACCCTTTTGGGCTAGAAAATACCGTGGTTAGACTGGAGAAGGAACTTAGGCTCCAAAGAGTTCAGGGAAGACCAACATTGCCACTTCCCTCCTCGTATCACACACCTCCCTAAGCTTTCATAGATGGGAAACATTTTATAATAAACACCATATAGTGCTTTGTGGGAGAGGAGGAGAGGGGAGGAAAAGGCAGACAGCTGAATCTATATGTGCTTCTAGGGTCCTTACCTCGATGTATCAGAAAAAGCCTGATACTCCTAAGTTTCAGGAAAGATCCTGTTTCCCTCATTTACACCTTTGTGACCATTTATTCCTATATATATAGGTAAGGTAGGGGTAAGAAGTGAAGCTGATGGAGGGGAGGGCAGAAGGCGAGAAACCCCCCTGCCATGACTTGACAAGTGAGTGTGAAATCTGCAGCACTGTGTTAGTGCGGGGAGTTTAGCCCCCACCTCTTTAACTCTTGCCCACCATCCTCTCCATACCCCCCCCATATATGTATGCTCTTGCCTGTAAGTAACACTTTTGTCTCTGTTGCCCCACCAAGATGAACCTTGATAATGTAAAGTCAGTCCCTGATGGCTGGTTGCTTTCAGAATTTATTAATGTTATGGGTTTGTTAACCTTCCCCTAGGTATTTCTTTGTGGTTGAAGAGGACAACACTCCCTTAGCAGTGACAGTGACACCATGCGATGCCCCTCTGGAGTGGAAACTGAGTGTGCAAGAGCTCCCGGAGGAAGCCAGTGGAGAAGGTTCAGGTAACAAACCGTCAAAGACTTCCCTTGCACCTCAGAGACCTACTTTTCTCCTGGATTCAAAGGCTCTCAAATCAGTCTCAGTGTGATGCTGAGAGTTTCACAGCAGGCCCGTATTTGTGATCTCCCACTGTTTGGACCTTCAGCCCCAATCCTGCTTTTGTGCAGGAAACTGGCAGCAGGTAGCAACATGAGAAGAGCTGTGCTTGAGTTAAATCAGTTTCTGGTGAACTAAGCATACATAGGTCAGAAAATAAATGTTGAAAAACTAAGAAGTGAATTAATGAAAAGACCTGTGGGAGCTCCATGTTGTACAGCAGTAACATAAAACATAAAAGCTGAGGGTATGATTATAGACTGCACTGGATGTTGCCACAACAAACGTTATCTGCCCAGCCTAACTCGGTTTCACTGGGGGCTTTGCTGGGGGCTGCGTACGCAAGATAAGAACTGAAGAGACAGGGAGTTGCATTCCAGCTCCTTTGAGGGACTCATTCATAGGCACACTTAAAGCTGATGTGGAGATAGTAACATAAATTCCTACTCGAGTGAGAAAATGTCATTGTCTTCCAGAACCTCTAATGCAAGTGCTGAATGCCATACACACCAGACTGTATTGGGATAGTCACCCCTCTGCCTTCACTGTAGTTAGGCACATGGCTTTAGAGTGGCTCAAAGGACCAAAGCTAAGGGCCCAAGGCCAGAGACAGATGGTGGAGCTGGTGCCTCCTGGGGAACTGTAGGGCACTTCCAAGACGGGTGCTTGAAGTAGCCTAATGGAGGGTATTAATCACCCTCCATGAGGATCCATTAATACTGATCAGATGTGATTTCCGTTGCATTTTTTTAACTTGCTCGCCAAACCAGCTTACCTGTCTGTGACAGAAGTAATGATTATATATTCCTCAGAAGAGAAAACCTTCCTTTTTATCTCATTTTTGTACTTTACACAGAAGTGTCTTCTGGAGTTTTATTTTCTCATATTTGCAGATCTTTCCATGTCTGTATAAATATCTTTCTTTGCTTACAATCTAGGTGAACCAGAACCTCTTGAGCAGCAGAAACAGCAGATTACTAATGAAGAGGGCACAGAGCTGTTCTCTTATAAAGGCAACGATGTTGAGTATTTTGTGTCCTCTAGTTCCCCATCTGGTTTGTACCAACTAGATCTGCTGTCAACAGAGAAGGATACACATTTTAAAGTGTATGCAACCACTACTCCAGAATCAGACCAACCTTACCCTGAATTACCTTATGATCCTAGAATTGATGTCACTTCTCTGGGACGTACAACAGTGACACTAGCATGGAAACCAAGTCCCACCGCCTCGTTACTGAAACAGCCAATTCAGTATTGCATAGTCATCAATAAAGAACACAATTTCAAAAGCCTCTGTGCTGTTGAAGCCAAACTCAGTTCTGATGATGCCTTCATGATGGCTCCAAAACCAGGTCTGGATTTCAGTCCGTTTGACTTTGCCCTTTTTGGCTTCCCTTCAGACAACAACTCGGGCAAAGAACGTGGTTTCCTAAAATCATCATCAAAGTTTGGGCGCCAAATGTCTTCAAAGCCAAGAGTTGACCTGCATAAGATTTGCATTGGGAACAAGAACATCTTCACAGTGTCTGATCTGAAACCTGATACGCAGTACTACTTTGACATGTTTGCAGTAAATACTAACACTAACATGAGCACTGCATACGTTGGCACCTTTGCCAGAACAAAGGAGGAGGCTAAACAGAAGACAGTTGAACTGAAGGATGGCAAAGTAACAGATGTATTTATCAAGAGAAAGGGAGCTAAATTTCTACGGTTTGCTCCTGTCTCATCTCACCAAAAAGTCACCTTCTCTGTTCACTCGTGCCTGGATGCTGTTCAGATCCAAGTTAGAAGAGATGGAAAACTTCTGTTGTCTCAGAATGTTGAAGGTGTACGGCAGTTTCAGCTTCGAGGAAAAGCAAAAGCTAAATATTTAATTAGGCTGAAAGGAAGCAAAAAAGGTGCTTCCATGTTGAAGATTTTGGCTACAACAAGGCCTAATAAGCAGTCATTTCCTTCTCTTCCTGAAGATACGAGAATCAAAGCCTTCGACAAACTTCGCACGTGTTCTTCTGTTACGGTGGCATGGCTAGGGACACAAGAGAGAAACAAATTCTGCATCTATAAAAAGGAAGTGGATGATAATTTTAATGAAGAGCAGAAGAAAAGAGAGCAGAACCAGTGCTTGGGTCCAGATACAAGGAAGAAATCAGAAAAGGTTCTCTGTAAATACTTTCACAGCCAGAATATACAGAAAGCAGTTACCACAGAGACAATTCGAGGCCTGCAGCCTGGCAAATCCTACCTGCTGGATGTTTATGTCATAGGGCATGGAGGGCACTCTGTTAAATATCAGAGCAAATTGGTGAAAACAAGGAAGTTCTGTTAGTGCCCCTGGACAGAGAAATATATGGAACTCCAATCTGAACATTATCCTACTTTAAGTATACAGATTGACTACTTGCACAGCTGAGAAGTTGTGACCTTTATTTGTACTGTGTAGAAAAGATATCAACTTGTATATTTATGTTTACATAAGTAATTGTTTGGAGGAACTGAGGCTGGTGCTTTCTGGTAGCATCTCACAGTTGTATTATCACGTGTCCAGTGACCCACATGTGACGCTCAATAGATGTCCAAGGTAGCAGGAAACCTTGAAGGAACTGGCACCCCTTTGCTTCCATATTGCATGAACTGCTTCTAAATTATTTTATTACTTAAAAGCCTGAGATAAATCAGTCATCTACTTTATTATTTACACTCAAAAAACACAGTCACACACCCTTTCTCTCAGTGTAGATGGTAGGGTTTCTGTAAATTATTTTATAGAGTCTTGTTTTAAATGTTTATGTTTCTTTGACTGTAAACTATTGAAATCTCTCTCCATTAAAATACAGATCTAAACTAAGTATTAACTGGGCTGCACATGAATCAGTTTCATTGCTAATGTAAATTCTTACCTAGCTCATTTTCATGTTTAAATACTGTATGTATTTCATGTACAAAGTTGCCATAACGTTATATTCCTGTACATAAATTAAAAATATTAGATTATATATCGTTTCTTTTTTCTTGACATTCTAAGGGGGAAGATAGACTTGGGAACAAAACAGGTATGCTGAAACTTAAACTGAATTCAGCTAGGACATGCCTCTTTGTTGTTGTTGTTCTTAATGTTTTTGGGAAAGGTGACTGAAGTATGGTAGAATTACTCAAGTTATGGAGTCAGTGGTTAAAATTCTGCAAAGGAGCACAGGACATTGAATGAGAGGTATTTCAGGCATATGTTGGGACTGCTGTGATCTAAGTGCTAAAGGAATAGGACAGCACAGGAGACCTTTCGTTGTCCTGGGTGAGGACAGATCCTCTTTTGTTGCAGCTGCGAGCGCTGCCAGCACTTAGCATTGCTCAGGAGCTCTCAGTCTGATTTGCGCAGACCATACCATTCAAACATGTAACATAGCAGTGTTGTTTTTTTGGTAGATTATCATTGAAATCATTTGCATTCTGGATTCTGCTGGTTTCTACCACAGTAATAACAAGCTGAGAGGATTTTCTTTTATACTGACAAGAATTGTAGCACTGAAAAAAAAAGTATACTTTCATTTAAATTGCATTTCCATTGTGTAGATTTCTTTAAAACATTAAATGTCTGCATCTCATCTTTCCTAAATTTTCTTGTTTTTTTTTTTTTTTAGTGTCACCTTCATTGACTCAGAAAATTGTACAGAGCTTAATAGAAAACACGCTTCTGAGAAGCGACTAGAACAGCACCATTTGAAATGGCTAAGAGGAGGATACATATAACATCTGTCCCAATATTATAGTATGGTTCAGAGCCTCAGAATGGATCACTGAGACTTATTTTTTCTTGGTCCCGTCATATGTATTAGTCCAAACTGTTGGGTGCAGCACTTAGGCAGTAGATGTCAGAGCTTATTCGAATGCAGTTGCTCTCTCTCCCTTAGGTGCCTTTCAGCAAAACTTGTTTGGACTCTCACTGCTGTGACTGTGGCACTTACAGTCCCCTTGGGCTCTGACAACACCCGTGGAGAAACTGGGGAATGAGGGAAGGGGGCCAGAACTCACATAAAGATGGAAAGCAGATTCCTCTTAGACTGCTCATAGGAGAGACAAGAACTCTCCATCCCTGTGGAGGTGATCTCCCACGGATGAGCTCTTCAGGATTTCTGTTCTACTGCCCCTCAGCACAGTGTAGACTGGGGGGATCATCAGCAGGGTTTTGTGGCTGCACGAGCTCCCACTTACTCCTGTATGTAGAGTTTGTTGTTATGATTCTAAGACACAAATACTCTATGAAGACTGAACAGAAAATGGCTGCTGTGTTTAATGTGATTATATAATAAACCTAATTATTGAAATTTATATTTCTCTGTAGATGATCTCCTCTCCTCATTTGAAAACATCTTTGTAATTTCTTAAAGCTAATGGCTTCAGTAGAACACTGCCTGCTAGATCACCATGACAGGACATAGGTAAGCAGCGGATCACGACAGCTGGGAATCCCAGAAGAACAGGACTATGATACTAGTGTTTAATCACTGCTTTCCAGGAAGATGCTTTCCCTAACCTACATTTTACTGTCCAAAAATCCACTGAATCGTACCATTAGAAATCAACACTTGAATTTTTAAAGCATTTCTCTGTTCACTGGTGCCATTTCTGTTCGGAATCATGCCTCTTCCAGTGGCCTAATTCCAGTGTTTACTTGAAAATATATGTTTTTATGACCATTCCAGGTCAGTGCGTTCCCTTTAGCCAGCTTTCTGTTTGGGATTGCATGCACTTGGCTTTTCTACCTGCCAACTACTTATTTTTGTAGTAGGTCACAGAATGAAAAACTTTCCAAAAATGCATGCATCTTCACTCTACTTGAGCACTACATTTTCATAGAAAAATGTCACAAAATATGGTGCTCTTTTTCCTGATAGAATTCTTTTCCCAAAGAATTAGTTCTATTTTTTAATTCTGAATAATATCAAGATCATACCAGTATCACACCTACCAGTCATCCTTTTATTAATCAGATCTTAATGGATTCAAATGGGTCTGAGAGGCAGATTTATTTCGAAGGATGACGTAAAAATAAGGACACCAATGTTTGTAAGGAAAATATAATAGTTAGCCTTGCCTAAGTGGGAGGTGACTGAAGTACATTTTTAAAGTAAATTAGATATCTCTTAGAAAAGCTCTGGACTGAGCATTTGTAAAGCGCAGTGCCCACATAAGGAGTAATAGTGTGGGTGACTGAAGAGCTTTCCTCGTACTGTGCCCCATCATTGCCACTCAGTCTGGACATGAACACAGTTCAGATTTTCCGTTGCCCCAGGCTCTGGCTTACTGCATCACAGACTTACAGCTTTCTGTCCACTCAGTCTACAGACTTATGGGCCACAGAACAACAGTAACTTTGAGCTGCTGCTCTACATGGGACCTGAAGCAGTCACCAATTTGGAGCCTGTTACTAATCCACTCTCACACCTGTATCCCTAGTTTCACGTCAAAACAGATATGAGTAACTTAATGGATAACATGGATAGAGATTTGTGATCTCTATCCACAAGATCTCTCTTTGTAGATCTCTATCTACAAGAAAAAAAGAAGGCATATGAAATAGCTATACAACTATATATATAATCATATAAAAACTTCTTTAGTTTTTTTTTTTTTTTTTAAGAACAGGGTTTGAGACGTAATAGAAACGTGAACTTGCAAACAGAAAGTTAAACAGAGTTCAGCATTTGTACTGATAATGTGTCTTATGGGGAACAAATGCCTTGCTGGACTCTGCAGCTGAGGAACAGGGAGGGCTATGGGAATACAGAACACTGAGGTCCACACTGGTGACAGCTCCTCATTAAGGCATATCTACTGTCAGAAAGTGTAATAGAGATGTCCTTCCTGTACATATTTTTATTGTTTGTTTGCTTCAAAACCAGTAAGAGAGTCACTGAGCCTTTGCATGCCACAGCAAGATAATCTTCAGCATCTTCATCGATCAAAGCAGAGCTTATCTAATTCTATTGATTTACTTACTGACGAATCTGGCAGCAGCCTTACAATATAAGCTTCAAACAGCCCAAAGGACAAAATAGTCCATGAGTAACAGAACACAAGTTAAAGTCATGACAGTAGCAAAACTGGAGACTAAACCAATCGGTTACACACAGCGTATATTTTCATGTCAAGACCGCCAGTTGTAAAAGCATAAGCAGAGCCATATTTGTTTGGGTTCTAACTAGCAATGTTAAGACAGAACCTACCAGGAGACACAATCTTGACACAGAACAGCAAACGTGGTCTTACCATAGCAGCTGGCAAAATAACACCACGATAGTTGTTGATGCGCAAAGTCCTTTGAATAGTTAGCTTTGAAGTCATCATATTTGAATGTATTCCGCTAAATGGGATGCGAAAATGCATATCATCTAATTCAGTATATACACAGCGATGAGCAATTGTATACCAGGAATCTTGGACTCTTCTTTCTGTCCCTCTCTGCTTGGAAACCTATCCATAAAACTTGGTGATAAAGAGAGCAGAGAGCACCTTGAATTTGTGGCAACAAACCCATCTTTATGCCAACTGACCACACAGATCTGCATAGCACAGCCAGTAATTTGGGATCTCAGTACTACATGTATGAATTCAAATTAATGTTACTTCAGAGTACTGTTCATTTAAGAAGTAAAGACACATTTCAATAGAGCAAATCATTTACATTTGCTTGTACTGAGTATGGAACTTTAGGCTGAAGGCTGGTATTCACTATGAAAAGCTTTTACTGCAGGTTAAAGGGCTAGCAGTCATTAAATGTTATTCACATACTAGTAAGTTCTTGGTCTTTGACATACGAAAAGCCAGCTTTCAACTGTTTTCACCTACCCCTGTTTGGCTATATTAGAAAAGCCAGCTTTTATACTTTCCACAAGTGATACTCATTTTTATCTTATCTTGCAAAAAATAAACTGCTACTAATAACAACAGCAGACCTTGTACTTGAGAGTGCAATGTTTAGATCCAAATTCAAATTGTTATGTAGTTATGTTAATCTGGTCAGGACTGTTCCTAGGTTTTAAGGCCACTTTTAATGAGCACTTCAAATTAAAGAATTACTTCAGGGAGACCTTCATTTTCTGTCTCAGATAAAAGAACCCAAACCTAAATTTAGGGATGAATGCATATTGTATCTTCCCACTTGCCTGGCACCAGTAACATAATTCAAGTTTCAGAAGTGTTGTGTCTGCTCACAGTGCTTTTGTCTGCTTCAGAAGTGCAAGCCCATTTCCCACAGAAGTCAAACACACTCGCTCTGGGCATAATGAATGAAATTAGCAAACAAAGAAAATATGCTGCAGAGGGTTACTTCGCTGAAAGCGCTGTATACTGGTTTCTTGGTCCAGGGGCCCTATTCACCAAGCAGTATGTCTAGCAATTTTCCTTGGTTTGTGCATCAACTTGATTTGTAGCTACCCAGTGCAATTAATCAGTCCTTATCTTGTAATGTGAGGCTCTCTGTCCACACAGGGACCTGCTGTGGTTGGAAATCTGCGTAGGGGCAGGGGTTTCTCTAAGCCGGTCTCATTTCAGGATTTGTGCTTTAAAATATGAAGCCCTCAAGACAGTATAAGGACCATGTGAATGGACAGCATTTGATAAATAATTTGTGTGGGTTAATTTAAACTGTTCCTCTGGCCACAAATGTATTTGATTTGACTATTAGGAAGAGGCAGGCTCTTTGCCTTCTTTTTCCCTCAAGTAGTAAATTGTATTCTTCTTAACCAGAAAATATTTGCCTACAGCGGAATAAAGTGGACTATTTAGTGAAATGTGTATTCTCACTCTGTTACCTTCTTCCAGTGTTACTGTGCAAGCATTCCCGCAGGTCCAATGAACAGACAAAATCTTGAACCATGCAAAGAAAATATTTGATGAGATTTTTGGATGCCAAACTATACAAGAGGCTCTTGCCTTAGTGTGGAAAGTTAGGAAGGACAAGAGTAGTCCTTCTAGTAGACAAGACAAGAGAGTAGACAAGAGACTCTTGTTGAGTAGACAAGAGAGGAGGTATTAACATTTTCTTTTATGTCCTTTTCCAGTTCTTAATACTTGCTATTGCTTAAAAGGTCTCCGGGCATTCCAGTGACAATAAAAGGGGCAAGAGGAGTGTGAATGTTTATTCTTGCCTATTGTACAACCTTTATGTTCTTGCCTATTACTTCTTGCCTCTGGTTTTCACTTAAACACATCTACTTAAGGTGCATTAGAATAAGATGCATAGTTTTGCACAATAAACAAACTCAGAGCAATTTCACTTCACAGATTCAGAGAATGGCGAAGGTCGGAAGGGACCTCTGGAGATCATCTAGTCCAGCCCCCCTGCTCATGCAGGGTCCTCTAGAGCACACTGCACAGGATTGCGTCCAGGTGGCTTTTGAATATCTCCAGGGAAGGAGACTCCACAAACTCCCTGGGCAACCTGTTCCAGTGCTTTGTCACTCTCACAGGAAAGAAGTTTTTCCTCATGTTCAGATGGAACTGCCTGTGTGTCAGTTCGTACCGTTGCCTCTTGTCCTGTCTCTGGGCACCACTGAGAAGAGTCTGGCCTCATCCTCTCGACACCCTCTCTTCAGATACTTGAACACATTGATCAGATCCCCCCTCAGTCTTCTCTTCTCCGGGCTCAACAGTCCCAGCTCTCTTAGCCTTTCCTTGTAGCAGAAATGCTCCAGTCCCCTCATCATCTTCGTAGCCCTCTGCTGGACTCTCTCCAGGAGTGCCATGTCCTTCTTGTACTGAGGAGCCCAGAATTGGACACAACACTCCAGATGTGGCCTCCCCAGGGCTGAGTAGAGGGGGAGGATCACCTCCCTCGACATGCTGGCAACACTCTTCCTAATGCAGCCCAGGATCCCGTTGGCCCTCTTGGCCGCAAAGGCACATTGCTGGCTCATGGTCAACTTGTTCACCAGGACTCCCAGGTCCTTCTCTGCAGAGCTGCTTTCCAGCAGGTCAACCCCTAGCCTGTCCTGGTGCCTGGGGTTATTCCTCCCTGGGTGCAGGACCCTGCACTTGCCTTTGTTGAACTTCAGGCAGTTCCACTCTGCCCATCTCTCCAATTTCCTCCACTGGGAGTAAAGTAGCAATAATCTAGAAAAGTGTGGGGCCATGGCATGCCAGCAAAGCCACCTATTGAGGCTATGGAAACCTGAGGACTTGTAAAAATCCCTTCTCTGCGGACCTTCCCTCTTGCATCAACTTTTTATGGTAAGATGGATACAAAATAAAACCACACGAAAGACAATGATTTTTTTCTGTGTGCTTTAGCCTGACTTGCACTGCTTTGAGTGCCTGCACAAAGGGCAAGGCAGCTGTGCAGGGAAATGTCAGCCTGCTCTCGAAAGCTGTGGCTCCCCCCAGCTCCACTGAGCCTGGGAGGATGCAGCTGGGCTTCATTACCAACCTCACCACTGGGGCCAAGTGACCCTGCTTCCTTTAACAAGCCTTTTAACATGAACTATAAAAGATGCCTGTCCTGCCTCAGGAGGAGGGAAGATAAGAGTGAGTTGTTAGGGGTAGGTGAGTGGGTTGGTGGGTTTTTTTTGGGTTTTTTTGGTGTTTTTTTGGTTTTTTTTTGGTTTTTTTGGTGTTTTTTTGGTTTTTTTTTTGGTTTTTGGGGGGTTTTGGGGTTTTTTTTGCTATTTAAGTGAAAGGGAAGTTTTCAGATCTGCAGGGGTTTGTTTTTGGTTTTTAGCTCTGCTAGGGAGGATGTTTCTTAGTGTGATACTGGAATTTCAGCCAGTTGTTTGGGAGTAACTTGTAAGTGTGGCCCTGTCAAAAAGACATTTCCTTATTCTTCCCTTCTTTTGTTTGAGAAGCCTTTCTAATTCTTACTTGCATTAGATCTCCTGAGCCACCTAACTTCATACTTAGAAGGTTTCATATAAACTATGATAATTTTTTTAACATAACTTTTTTTCCTGGAGCTTTTTTCTGCTTTTTGAATGAGCAGTGAGTAAGTACTTTGTCATAATTGCCTTGCTAATGTAACTGCAAAACTGTTGAAGGGTTGGTACAGAGGAAATAATTAATTTCACTTTTTTTTGGGGGGGGGGGGATAATGGTGGGTTGTTATTCATGTAAAACTAAGTGGGCTTTACTATGCTGATTCTTTCCAGCTGTCTTGTACATCTCAGCTTTGCCTATATTTCTATACTAGGCTGAAATAGGTCAGATTATTCTGACACAGTAGTAAGGACAGCCTGTAGGCTGCTTAGGGCTACAGGTATTCAGAGGCTTAAACCCTATTGCCCTTAATAGGGATTGAGCTAAATGTGTCTGTGTGTGACTACTCATTCTGCTTGCTTGTTTAGTTTAAATACAATCATGATGATCAAAAAAGCTAGATACATGCTTAGTGCTTGAAATCTGATATACAAATGTTAAGTAAATTCTTCTCAAAAAAATAATTCCTTTCTCAACTTTTCCTGTGTCAGAGGCATGAGTGTTTTCCCTAATGTTAGTACACCATGTAAGTATTACTGGAAAACAATTTTTTGCTTCAGAGGAGCTGAAGTGAAATCTTCACCCTTTTGAAGTCAATGGGTTTTGTTCTTGACTTCATAAATCTTGCATTTGTGTAAATGGCTTCAGTTCAGGCAGCCCTAAAAAGGCCATGTCCTAAATTCAGCAGATGCTAACACATCTTTCTATTATGACAAATGGCTTGGTATGTACAGATGAGTTTTAGGGGAGACTTTTCTAGAAAGCACCAGTTCTTGTCAAAGTTATGCCTACTAATTCTGTTGATAGAGTCCAGCTGTCACTGAACACTTTTGAAGAACCTGCCCTAGGTATGCTGGATGCCAAGCAAATGATGGCAGACACAGAATTTCACGAGGTGGTTTTGACAGGAGAAGTTAAATGCTATTTGTCTCTTATGTTGCATATGAGATTCTTAACAAACTTCAGTAATATCTAGTACAACACCTGCTAGAAGTAACTAGGCATGTACCTAGTTATTTCACTTCAAGTGAAATCTGTATTTGTGGCAACAGGCAATGAAATATGCGCTGTAAAATTCTGCTCCAATGGCTTAGTTTAAATAAGTGTTGATAGGATTATTAAACTTATGTGTACCTTCCTAAATAACTTGAATTCTTATTTTAATTATGTCAAAATTCTTTTTTTCAGTTTAACGAGTCCTTCAGGGAATGGCCTGACAGACTATGTTAGTCTGATGACAAGATAGTGACTCTGGAGGTGCTACAGTAGGACTGTCTCTTTGTTAAATCACAAACGGGAAAGACTACATTAGCTTGCTTTGCTTTCTTGGCTTGGGATAAGAGAAACAGAACCTGGATTAGAAAATGATCTGATGTCTGGTGCTCAGTGGTTTAACATAGTTCCCGATTCATATCTATTTTAATACCTGTGCTCTTCTAAACCTCGGGTTGCACAGTATTTCAGGTGAAACTGAGAGATACAGAATAAAGGCTGAGACAAAAATGTTTCGTTAGTACTTAATTTTAGGTTTACTTTTAACTTTCAATTAAATTGCAATTGAAATTGCAATTTCTGTAAATGTTAGCGTAACGACGCACACACTTCTGCTTCGCTTTCCCAACTTCTTGCCCCTTCAACTGCTGTTATGTGTATGTTGCATTTTGTTGTTGAGCTGCAGCAGCTGTTTCTGTGTAATTTAAACCTATATGTTGAGGAAAAGCTAGGTTTTCACATCATTTTCTTATTAAACTTTTTCTGCAGTAGTTCTGTGTCAGTGAGGCAAGTCTTTCATTTGTTGTTTTAGGTACTGTATGGATTTTGCAGTTTGCTTAGAGTCGAAGTGAAGCTGTGAAAGGCTACGATAGCAATTGGTACAATTTAGAGATGGTTTAGTCTTCTAAAACAAGTGTTTAGACTGGTTTACAAACTTGTGGGATTAATCCTGTTGGGGATGCAAGTTCTTGCTTCATTTCAGGTGTTCAGTGGTATCAAATTCTCCTTTTGGAAGGATGCTTTATCACTTCTCTGAAGTCCATGTAACTGGTCATAGCAATCACAATCCTCAGCTTGCCTGGTCAACCACTGCTGACCTCAGGGTGTATAAGACACTCAATTTTTGTTTAAGCAATTTCTTTTAAAGAATAATGGTTTTTAAACATAAGTTGAAGTGAACTGATAACACTAGTAGTTTTTGAATGCAGCTTGTTATTATTTTCCAGTGCAACTTGCTCTTTAATGGTAGGCCTCCTCCTTTTACAAAAAAGGGGACTTATCTATCTAACAAACAGGCATGACTGAGTAATAAACATACAGTTGGCTTTCTGATCTTGCAGCCACTGTGTACCTTGAAAGTCTACTGATCTACAACTTGATTTCTGCCTGCTGAAATGTGTAGAGTTAAGGTACCTTTTGATGTACTGCTAGATAAACTGCTAGTTTATCACTTACTTCAGAAAGACATCCTCTCCTCCTCTGAAGACTTTCATTACTGATTCTCTCTAGTATTAGGAAAAAACACTGAAAAAGAACAGGCGGGAATGCTATTACTTCAATAGTCACTGTTTATAGACATACAGCCTATTAAAAAGGGATGTTACATCTCAAAGCCAGATAACTTTTTCACTGGGGAAGGGTGATGCTGGTGGGAGGGCATTTCCTTTTAGACAGTTAAGCATGGTACTTAACTTGCTCTTTGGTGGAATCAGAACTTACTCATCCTCTCTGTCCTGGAGAACTAATACATCCTTTGAGGACACAAGGATGAAGACTGAGTGTAGGTAGGGCCTGCAGGCAGGCTTTGGGCGCTCTTGCTGTTTTTCCTCCCACACATCCACGCATGTGCCAGCTGTAATCTGGCCCCATTATTATTGTGTTTATTCTCCTCAATTGCCCATCACACACATCTGGGAAGCTGAATAGAAAATAAACACCAATATATTTACTTCAAGTTGCTTTGCATAGCATTATAATTAGAAGCTGGAGACAACTGTTTCCCTTGATCATTAGATAGTGCGGTACTGTTGTTCCTCTTGGTTTTTCTTTTTCAGAGTACTGTGTGTTCCATCTGAGCAGCTATGCTCTCATAGCCTTTTTTTAATAGTTGACATGCTTAAATTAATGTGACGGTGCTAAAGCGAATGCATATATTGTGCTGTTCTGGAGGGCTGGTGTAGTATGCCTTGAAAGCAGGAGTAACTGCAGACTGCCTGCAGATGTTGACCAAAAGGAAAGTTGCTCGTGCGTGGTTCCTTTGTTTCCTCAGATCTTTTTTTTTTCCTCCCTCCTTTGTAATGTTGGGCAACTGCTCCCAACTCCTAATGGCTTCCTCATGTTTTTTTTAACCCTCCTTGTGTTACAGGCTGCCAGAGAGGACAGCAAAACAACAGTGGCTGGTGCAGCACAATTTGTGGGCAGATGATGCATGATAGTGCATTGGACATACAGGGGAAAACAGACCTATTGTATTGTACAGACCTATTGTACAGATGTAACTGGTAATTGCAGGTGATTGTAAAATAATTCAGCCTGGCACTCATAGCATGCATTGCAGGAGGTTGTGGATGGAGACTTTGATCAGCAGTTTCTGGTTTGGATGGAAGATGGGAGAAATGGGGAAAGACAGAAGGTTATGATGAAATATTCCTCACCAGAGCCTCATGCTGACTTACATCCAAGTGTGAGGGAAGTGCTTCTCTGATCATCACTGTCTGAGTTCAGGATGATGTCCTTGTGCGTAGCATGTGATGTTTGTTACTTGGTCCCCTTTAAGAAGTAAGGGTTGGTGAAGGCACCACTAATATGCTGCAAATAGCAGCTGGGTATTTTCTCATCATGACTAAGTGAAACACCAAAACACCTCTAAAACAAAACAAAAGCTTACTCTGGGCTGACCAAAGCTTTTGAGGTAGGTCTATTCAGACCCCTTCCCCCAAAGAGCTTTCAAACTCAAACCTCATGTTCCCTTTAAAGGCCTACATCTGACAAACTTCTTAAGAGACAAGTGAGAGAAAAGACAGACTAGACATGGGGACCAGTTCATAAACAACTCTCCTGCTGCTCACTTTGTCCTTGCTCCCAGTTTTGGTTTCAGTCAACTTTGTGGCTTTTGGGGTTGAAGCAGACTGCAAGTTCACTCTGATGCCTAGTGAGTGGTTTCCATTGCCACTGGGGCTTCATTCTAGCTTCTCCTGCTGCTCTCCGCCATTTGCTGAGCCTGAACTGTGTGCTCCTATCCCCTTGATGTTTGCTTCTCCCCACCCATGAGCACATTCAGTAGCTCTCAAATGAAAGTGCCATGTCCTTTTCCCTGCACAGAGGCCCACTTGGCTCAGTTGCTCTCTTCAAAGAATACATATATATACACAAAGGAATAATTAGCTACTGTTTGTCTCAGTCCATAACAGAGACCTCTGTCTGGAAAGAGGGGTATCTTGTGATAAATGTGAAACGTGCAATCTAAATACTTAGCTAGCTGCTAACTCATCTGTTAATGCTTTCTGGCTATCTTCTAAAAATTGTTTGTATGCTTCTTAAGTTGTCTTCATTATATGGGAACTTGTAAAAGCTTTCTTTCCATTTTTTGATATGGACAAGAATGTTAGAAAATCCAGCAAAAAAGCTGGTCCTTTGTCAGTTTTTCACTTCTCCTCCAGGCTGTGCAATGGTTAATCTGTGGTCTCTGAAGACTGCCTTGTACCTCCAGTGGAATTTAGATTTATTCTGTGGAGTACTGCTGTTTTCATGGTCAAGGCTGCCCACTTCTGCTAGTTCAGCAGATATAATGTTTCTTATGAGGAGTGGAGGATCAATATTTGGTATGTCTCATGCGTGGCGTGAATCATTCTGCTTCCATTTGGCACTGTCAGAACAGATCTCCTGTGTGAACAAAGCTCTGATCAGTGCAGGTGCTTAGATCAGATTAAGAGGAAAAGGAAGAACTGAGAAATGTAACAAATATTCTTCTACTAAAAGTAATGCAGTTCTTGCACTATTCTGCACAATGAACGTGGTTGCTTTTTTCCTACTCAGTCCAAAACTACATAATGATTTTGGAGAAATCATGGCAGAAACATACCCATTTGTAATTTTACCACTAGCTTAATGAAAAGCTACACAAATATATAACATCTAGCCAGTTACATGTCAACTAGAAGAAGAGCAAGATACTTTAAAACATAATGACAAACAATGATAGTGAGGAGGAACATACATGAAAGAAACAACCAAACAACAATAACAAGAATAGACATAGTTTCATTAAATGAAACCATCTTGAGCAATGACCTTTCTGACAAACCACGGAAGTACCAAACATGCAGCCTTTTAAATAGGGGTTTCATTCTGGATTTTTTTGCACACATACCCCCTGGAAGCTTTATGTAGTCCAAATGCCTGCCTCTTGGATAGGGCCTGTAGGCATCTGCTCTGTAATGGCTGTTTGAGTGAGCAAGTGAAAGTTTGCAGGTTACTCAGGCCAGTCACAACAACTGGAGGGAACCCATGTTCCCTGCTATCCTCTCCACTTGACTGAATTTCATTCATTCAATGTTTTATTTGCCTTTGTCCTCCCTTCTGTGGGAGGGAAGTGGGGATGGGGGAAGAAGAGAGGGAAGCAAATTGTTAGTAAAGGCTGTGCAAAAGATATGCTTAGTGTGCTGAGAATGCCTTGCCTCTGAATTTGGTTCAAGCCACCTCAAGTTCCTGCTGACACTAGGCTGTTGTAGCACTCACCACTATCATACTCTATTCGAAATTGATGTCTTATTTATGATGCCTAGAACGTTCATTGCTTTGTCCCACTAGGCAGACACTGAAAATGGCAGATAGTAGCCATGTAGGATGATACAAAAATTGGTAGGTGTTCCTTCCTATATTTTTTTTTCAAAGGAGTAGATTTCTTCTGAATACTTCAGACTTATTTTTATTAGTTCATTAAAACCTTTTTAATTCACACTTCTTAGATCGCATCAATGAAAGCTGTTAGTATCAGGTCAAATAACCATCTGGTTCTTACATCAAAGGGTTATTAGGTGACTGTAATCTGTCATAACAATATCTGCTAGTAACACTTGCAAAACCCAACTTGAGAGCCTTACTTAAAGATTAACTGCTTTCAATCAAGGGTAGGCTATTAAGAGTGGAAACTTCTGCAATGAACACTTTTCACCTATGTCTAATGTTACACTCCCAACCTTTTGGATTGTTCTATTTTTTCCAATAGCTGTTGTCATGGTTCAATGTTAGTTATCAGAAATGGTCTCTAGCCTTCAAAATTTCATTAGAAATAATTAATTTGTCTAATGGCTGCGAGTCTGAAGATATGAAACACTTGAGTTCAAATGAGAATTAACTACTGCCATTCTGATTTGATGGTGTTTTAACAGAATGTTCCATAAATACCCAGGACTTTTACTGCAGTTTTAAACCAAATGGAAGTAACACAGTTTCAGAAACTCTGTTGCAGGGAAAAGAAAATATAGTGCCTTTCTAACAAAACATGAGAAGGCAGACAGACTCTTGCTGTTGTTCTTCGGTGGCTCTGTGTTTAGGTGTGTGCCTATGCCTACATAATGAGCCATGAGGAGCAAAAGGCTCAAAAATCCACTGGTTGAACAAACATGACCATAGCAGCAGCTCAATATTGAGGGCCCTGCATCCAGTGTGCTTCCTTCTCTCCCACTTCTCACTTCAGCTCTCTTCCTACTGTGAGAATAACCTAATTTAGATGCAGGTCAGGCAAAACCATGTTAGTTGTTTGCCTGTGAAACTATGCAGGTTAACAATGTTTTGGCAATATACACAGAACAATGAAGCACTGTCAGCATGCACTTCGGCCACAGCCATGTTGTATCACAACGGCTAACTATGGCTGCTTCTCAAGTGCAGACAGGGCTTCAGTCCTTCTATTCTCGATTATTATTGTTGGGATAGACTTTCATATAGTTGCTGAAAGGGTGTGTTAATGTCTTATACCTCTTGAAAGACACACTCTTAAATAAGATGCAGCTGCATTATATTTTCAACCCATTCCCTTGCTGCTTTACGAGAAAAGATGACTAACTCATTTAAAGCAATACTGAGCAGTAATAATTTTAAACTTATGGAGCACCCAGTGTCTAGCTGCCTTAGGGTGCCTGACAGGCTATAACTTAAAACATAGCTTTAAAAAAAGCAGTGTGATTTAACACAATAGGACTGATGGAGAAACAGAAACCCCATTGTGTGATAAACAGAACAGCGGCTCACAAACAATATCAAACCCAAACTCTCTGCAGCCTGACCCAGAGGGGTGCCATTGTTTTCTCTGAAATCTCAGAGAGGAGAACACACTTGAGCTAAGAGAAAGCATTTATGAAGGAAGACTTCGCACAGGGTAAAACAGAACCAGCTAGAATTTTAGACTGAGCTGTAGGATTTGTTGATCTTGTTAACCAAGGATGAACACTTCAGAGAGGAAACAACAGACAGTGGCAAATATCTCTCAAACTTCTACAGCTATTTCTTTTCTGCACTTATTCAAAGAACACTTGTCTTACTCATTAATTTGTGCATGTGTGTGTATATACATGCACATATATACCTACATAAAACTTTTTCTCCTTATTCCCTCTTCTCTATCAAATTCAGAGAGTTACAGAACTATTAAAGTTAGCAAGGAGTTTTTCTGCTGCTCTTAGAATCAACTTTTGCCCTAAAGTGTGGGTTTACAGGGTTGTATCAAGCTTTTGTTAGCCTCTATGAACAGAGAAAGCAGTTCCTGAGAGAGGGCAGCATGAGATCCTCTTTCCCCAGTTATCTCTAGACCTCTCCTCCGCTTTATGAAGCCAAGTAGATCTGTAAAGTTTAGTTAAGAAACTTTGTCTAGATGAGTTGTTTGAATCATTTTATCGTTGCTTATAAGGAAGATGGCCGTATTTCTCATTTGTTCTCAGTTTGGCAAATATAGAAATGATGAAAGGGATCAAAAGAAAAATGACTTTCTGCTTTCCAGTGCTTTTGAGACTGAGCAATTTCAGCCACAAGCAATGTTAAGCCACGTAAAAATTGTAATACGATTTATAACCTTTTAAAAATAAGGAAAAATTAAGGAAATATTTGTTTATTTTTCTAATATACGCTATAGACCTTGGCAATGATATCTGAAAGTCATTGCAGCCAGAGTTGTATATTTGATAATTGCTGCTTTGTACATGTTTAGAGCCAAAAAAGATTGTACTGAAGGTCTAGTCTGACATCTTGTATAAGACAGATTTGGAGATGAAACTCAGTAATTCCTTTGAAGTAAATTATCCTACTAAGTATTGCGAAAGATTATCTTGTGCAACTCCTATTTTCAATAACAATTAGAGTCCTATGTCTAGGTTCTTTTAGTTGATACTGTGACTGCATCCAAAGGGGAAGAAATTAGGCTGTCTCTTGAGCATTGCACAGAAATAATTTCCAAAACAGTGCTGCTCACAATTACGTATCTACCTCACGTTATCTCATTTAAATAACACTAACAAGAATGTAGTGCCCCAAAAAGCGCCATAGCCATAAATTTGCATACTATGATTTTGAAAAATATTTCTATTTGATGGAGAGTGAAATTTAATTTAGATAGTTGCAGTCTAAAAATAAGCACTTTTTACATGGATTTGAGTAGAAGATCTGAGAGGGACACAACTCTTATAGAAATTTATGCTATTCAGTGGGTGGCCATAAATCAGACTTATTGTTATTGAAGTAAACCCCTCAAAGTTATGGAATTTGTCTTTTAAAAATTGCCAAGAGGCAATCTAGTTCTTTGGATGACTTTTCTACTCAGTTTGGTGTTTGGCAAAACTATAGGACATACAGCTGTTTTATTTCTTTTTAAAACGTGCGCACACACACGCAAAACAATACAACTACCAAAGGTGGGATTGAGGGCATCTATCTAAATGTGGTATGCACACAAAGAGAAATGAAATACTGTTAACTCCAGTGAGCCACGGGTTGGTGTAAAGCCCTTAGACTGTTTTTTCTTTTCCAAGTATATAGTGCACAGAACAACAGGTGACTTGCAGTGCTGTTTGCCACTGATCCTGTGTTTTTATTTAACTTAACTTTAAATTCTGAATGTTGGGGACAGAACTCTTAAGTACCTATGATGTTAAACTGAATATAATGAGGATTAAAAGTGAGCATTCAAACCTCTGTCCTCTAGGTCTGTGCTTAAAGGAATAAGAATTTCCCACTCTTCTGGTAAAATTTGTTACAGAAGTAAATAGTAAGTATGTTATCAACTGAGAAAGTGACTTTAGCAGTGGACAGGCAGGTAGGAGACAGACTCAAGAACAATGAAAGGACTAAGATGAGTCTAGAAAAACTCCAGGGAAGAAATTTCCATTTTTTCAGGAGAGTACTTGTCTATCCCTAAGTTAATAGCTGTCATCTGGGTGTGTGCCCTAAAAAATAGTAAAGTATTCCTAACTATAGTATCTATAGATAGGCTTGAAGTTGAAAATCCAAATTGGTTCTTGATTGCTTAAACATTGAGTACTTCTTTTACTCATTGTTCTAAGTATTTTTTGTTTCAGCTTCTGAGATTCATCCATATTTCAAGTTTTGAATAATACGCAGGAAAAACTGTACAATCTCAGTTATGACAGAAAGGAAGACTTTACAAAACTAAATTGCTGCAAAACCTAAAGTTGGAAGGTGGTAGATGAGATGATGATTTCAATGTCAGAAGTCTTAAAGTTCACATAATATTTCCAAAAAGGTGTAGTACAATATTTAATACTTTTATTTGGACTTCAAAAGACCCCCGACTTCTGTTTGTCAACCAAAATTCTTAAAATTGACTAGAAGGTCAACTCTTTGCCAAATAGATACAGCTTTCCCAAATTTCT